TATTATGTTATAAATATTATAAAGTATTATTTTTATTTTCATATTGCTCAGTTAAATCTGAAACTATTATCATGTGACGAAAAATCATAGTTTTTTTTACTTTTTTCTGACAAATCCAAGTCTGTTAATAACACAAATTCCTACTCTTTTATTTAATTAAGAAGAATGTATTTGTCAGTATTTATTGATGAAGATAAGACGATATCTGCCGACTAGTCGGAACATCGCTAATAATTTATGTTCATTTCTTTTGTTTCTCCATTGTACATAGTTTACATCTGTTTCATAATAAATTAATCTTTACAATGTTATGTACAATCCACAGTGTTTGAATAGTGTACCGTACAGGGGGTGAGTATTATCTCTAACCGAAGCCCTAACAGTTATGTTGAAATTAAGCAAATTTCATTACTATGCATACATATGCACACATGTAGTATGGTTATCACGTAAGGCCACCTTGATCAACTGGGATAAGTAGGCAATAGCCCCCGAACGTCATCCTTTTGGGCGACAATTATGCTTAAATTGTATATAAATTTTACATTTCTATTTGCTTATTGGTAATATGTATATTGACCTCTTCTGATTCTGAAATTTTATGTAAAACATTACTAGCCACCCTGCTCTCGGAGAAATTTTTTGTGTGTATCTATATATAAAAGGATTAAAAAATGAAGCGACATTCTTCACCAATCCATAAATAATCCAGGATAAATTTATTCGCGCAGTTTAGTAGCACAATATGAATAGTTTCTGCTGGAATCCGTATTCCAAGCACTCCGCCTTATTGTTCTAATTAATTCGGATATGATAATATACGAGCTGACACTGAGACAATGGGATAATATTGCCGGGATTCTCGACTGCGAACCATTGTTTTCTCGCAGGTTATTCGTCCCAGTGCGTTCAAACGTCACTGGCAGTTCAATATTTCACAGTTTACAATCAATGATATTACTGTTTCACAAACGCCCTTCGAACAAGTAGAAGTAATTTCTTACTGGTATAATATTAACATGCTTTTGAACATAAACGACAGGCTAAATTACCTAGTCTCACTCGTGGAAGAGGGGGCAATTTTGATAAGAGTTTTTTTATCTACCAAAAAATCTGCTTTCGCGATTACCGCCCAATTCGAAGGAACTCTATAAAACCAAGTTATGATAGTACATCTTCATCTTCTAATATCTGCCAGTAAGTGATATTCCATATATTCATGATAGAGTTTCAAGACAAAATAATAAAAAGAAAAACTTATGAAAAATATGCAATTGAAGATTCATCAGCAATGTAAAATATCTTTTGACCATGTAGCAAATCCCACCATCCCATGAAAGTACTGACAATATCCTGCAGACGTCAGTACACTGAGATGCATAAGACATTGTCAAACAGGTGGACTCACTAAGGAAGTGTAAACTGAGGTAATATAGAACTTTACTATAAACACAAACCACAAGATGTAGTAGAAAACGACATAACCAAATGCGGGAATTGAAAGATACATAACAACAGACAACGATGAATCAATAGATTTGTTATTATACTAACGAATGATGAGGATACCGCGGATAGAGAAGATTAAAAATGAGGAGCTACTAGAGAGATTAGGAGAACAGAGGTCACTATAGAAGTCAATAATAAATAGGCGAGGTAGGTTGGTAGGACACCTTCTTAGGTATGAAGGTTTAATTAAAGATATATTAGAAGCACAAGTAGGAGTTTAAGAGGAGTAGAGATAGACCTAGATGAGATTACTGTTCATAAATATAACTTAAGGATATAGGATGTTCTAGTTTTAGGGAAATGCGAGAATTAGCTGAAGATAGGAAAAAGTAGAGGTATGTGTCCAACATGTCTTAGGGCTGACGACTTTATTATGATGATTACATTAACCAACGAGGAAATTAAAAAAACAACCTAACACTTTCTAAATAAAGCACTGAAAATTATAGACAGACATTTCGATAAAATTGAGGAACGTATACTCTTGCCTAAAGGAGTTAAAGAAATGTGGAATCAAAACACATTATGAGTTATTCCACTAATCGCTTCATCAATAGGTGCTATACGTGAAATATTACATACAAGTCTAGCCAAGTTCAATCTGCATAAACACACATGTATTAGTTTTCTTCACTCACCAAAATTGACCAGGGAAAGCAGAAAAGCAGAACAGAAAAATAATATACTTGGGTAGTGGGTATTTATAAGTCGTGCAGTAGAAACTGTTTTTTTTTTTATTTATTTACATAAGTGTCAAAACAATAGTATTATAAAACAAGGAATAACACAAGGTTGGAAGCCTTTTAACAAAAAAAAAATAACTTCCGCACTCACGATCGATTAATTTTGAAAAAGATTATTAAAGGTGTATGCCTGGCGGCACTGAATGGGTGTAAAACATAGACGGTGAACCCTGCGGAAAAGAAAAACTTTGAAAAAATGCGACTTATTAAGTAACTATAATTTACAGTTACAGAGGTATAGTTCATTAATGATACACTGAAAGGATCAAGCTAAATTTTCATTTATTTTAAAGTTTAAAATTAGACTACACAGATTTCATTAGCTCATGAGAGCTAAGAGGCACAGAAATAATAGTAATAATGATTTAAGTTTTTCTTTTTTTCCACAGCTAGGAACTTTATCTGATATATATTGGTTATAAAGGAAGACGATCTTAAGAACCTCGTCAGAGCAAAGCGAGTCACGATTTGATGCAGATGACGCTATGGCGGGTGAATCTGCCGGCATGTAAATGAACTCGTTCTTCTCGCAAACGAGACCAACACAAAAACTAAATAATCATGGAAATTAGTCCCGTCGTTATCTCAAGAAACTCTTTAATGTCCTTTTAAACACACCGGATGACGTGTATATTCTAATATGCCATGACTTCGTGGCAAAGCGTTTTCATTTGTTAAAGAGACAAATCACGTCAAGTGGGCACCCCATTTTTTACTTAGTCATAAAATTTAAATTTAAAAACATAAATATGACGCCCTTGTCAATATAAAAGATATCCTAAAACAGTTTTTCAAAATTTTAATTTTAATATGTCTGTCGTAATCGATTTTTCAATTAAAAGTTTCAAAAATGTTTATTGCAAAAAAATATAAAAATTAAAATTTTGAAAACGGTTGTAGGATATCCGTTATATTGATAAAGGCTTCATATTTATGTATTTAGATTTAAATTTTATGACTAATTGAAAAATAGAGCGCCCACTTGACGTGATTTATCTAAAAGTGAAACTTTATCGACGGTAGAAAAAAAATTTACTAGGGTATAAAACACTCACTCTATTTAACGACAACAATGCGGCATTATACATCATTAAGCAGTACTTCCTAAGTTGCCGAAATAGATAAGAACTGCAGCTGTGTACGTTGTTGAAGAAGACGATCCTGTGCCTCCACCAAGCATCAAACAAGCACTTGATGCAGCGAAACTATTAAAAAAACACTTTTTATATAATGAAGTTGATCCAGCAGTATCTCAAGATATGAGTAAGGTACGTAACAAAATACAATTAAAATATTGGAGCAGCAAAAAACATCATCAAATAATAATGTTCGTGTACAAAATGTGTACTATATTGGTAAATACATNAAAATCATAGTTTTTTTTACTTTTTTCTGACAAATCCAAGTCTGTTAATAACACAAATTCCTACTCTTTTATTTAATTAAGAAGAATGTATTTGTCAGTATTTATTGATGAAGATAAGACGATATCTGCCGACTAGTCGGAACATCGCTAATAATTTATGTTCATTTCTTTTGTTTCTCCATTGTACATAGCTTACATCTGTTTCATAATAAATTAATCATTACAATGTTATGTACAATCCACAGTGTTTGAATAGTGTACCGTACAGGGGGTGAGTATTATCTCTAACCGAAGCCCTAACAGTTATGTTGAAATTAAGCAAATTTCATTACTATGCATACATATGCACACATGTAGTATGGTTATCACGTAAGGCCACCTTGATCAACTGGGATAAGTAGGCAATAGCCCCCGAACGTCATCCTTTTGGGCGACAATTATGCTTAAATTGTATATAAATTTTACATTTCTATTTGCTTATTGGTAATATGTATATTGACCTCTTCTGATTCTGAAATTTTATGTAAAACATTACTAGCCACCCTGCTCTCGGAGAAATTTTTTGTAAAAAGAGACGTCAGTAGCACACGGGCGCCAAATATCTTACTAGAACAGCCCTGGCCATCAGACGTACGTATTGATTTTGATCTCACTAATTCGGCGCCACTAACTTTATCTAGTTTGCTTAGCACTGGATGTTCTAGAAAATTTAATAAACATTAAAAATAGGTAAAAAACTCCATAATTAGGTAAGTCTGTCTGAGCATGTGTTTTTGCCAAAATTGATGCCCATGTTTAACTTGAAAATAATCCATTTCCTGATGCAATTGTTATTTTTAATAGTTGTTTGTCGTGGTAATTATGTATTTTTTTCAATTTTATACTGACCTTCAGCCTCATTAATTTAGAATTACGTAATGTAGAAATGGTCAAACGTAATAATAAATAACAGAGCACGCAACATTCTGTGAATCTGCGATAAACCGATCGATCACATTTTTAAAAAATTACCTTACTGATTATTACAAATTGAATCGAATCTTAAGATAAAGTCAATATGAAGTTTTTCATAACGGTAACGTTAATATTTATTGGTTTACTACATGATGGTACATACTGTACTAGTGAAGACCTGGATGAAAACGGTAAGAGAACGAATCCCATTTTCGTACCGCACTTTGGATTTTCAATCTTTAGTTTCACATGATAAGAAACAAAATTTGATTTATTTTATATAGGTATATACACCTATTACTCTTAGAATCAATAGTTATCTTTTTTAATAATTATTAAAATTNAATAGTCACATCTCTGCCCATATAACACACTCATTTTGCGAGTTGCATGTATCCATCAGATGAGCTAAACTTTGATAATGCTGAACGTGACATGTAGCATACATAGATCTCCAAAGCAATTATTGAAGATTACAAATTAAAAGGCGACTATTGCATTTAGAGTAGTAAATCTTTGAGAATGACGAAGTTAGAATTTAATTAAATCGTAAAATAACTTCTTTATGTCTCGTAACTGTTTCAGCACGTATGCATTCAACGTAAGCCAAATTTCCCTGATTGTAAATCAACTGTTAACTGGGAGCAGTTTGGCAGTATATTTATATAAGTAATTTTAGAAACAATAAAGAATTTATGAATGAACTTCGGCTGTTTCGATCGCTATTTTGTGTCATTTTTTGACTGTAAATTTAATATAAATTAAAGAAAATATTTTATATTTGACTATATCTCCAATTACTTTCAAAATTGTAAAAAAATCAATATATGCACACTGTCACCGCTACTTATTAATCTAAACGTCGAAGACGCGATCAACATCATTAAAGACAGTACAACTG